ACTTGAAGATCCCTGGACTGAAGATCATGTTGGGGTAAAATACCCCGGATACCACTTAACTATGAGAATTGGAGGAGGTATACCACTTAAGTAAGAATAGTGCGTCGGATACCACTAATGTTATTGAACTGTGCATCCGTCCAAAATTCCGTCCATCTACCGTTAACAATAAATAAAATATTATTATTTTTTAAAAAATTTAAAAATAATTGAAAAACAAAAAATGGAAAATTCTGTGGCTTTCGTCTCCAAACCCTCACCGTCGCCCACCGCGAGCACTGCCTCTGCAACTTGACGATCCAATCACCAGACTCCAAAACTCTAAAACTTCTTCACGATCCTTCATCGGCAGATTGATACAGACCGAGATGAGATGGCATCAATGCTCCTCCTTCGTCGGCGGTTGTGTTGCGTCTTTCCCGATGAGGATAGCTGTGGAAATTAGGGTTAGCGTTGGGTTGTCCTTGGGTACTGAGCATTTGGAATCCTGGAGGCAATTCGGACAGTTCGGAGAATGATGTTCCGAGGTTGTCGGGTCCTCCTTATTGGGTGGACCAGATTTTTGTTAAAGGAGGCGGTTTGGAAAACGTGGAGTCCGCCGCCGAGGTCGATTGCTCCGGAGGCGAAACCTCCATCTACAGACGACCATGATGATGGGATCGAGGAAAGAAGCTTGAAGGAGGTGAATGGGGAGAGTTCTCGATGCCTTCTCCATTGCGGCTGCTGCTGAAAATGATGAGAGCAGAGATTGAAATTGCAGGGATAAATAGGTGAGAAATTCTTGCTTAGTTTGATTACTAAATTAATGAATTGAGATGAGATGGATACAGTACGACGGAGGAGCAGTGGAGTTTTGGAGTCGGGTGATTGGATCATGAAGTTGCAGGGCCAGTGCGCCGGTGGGCGGCGGTGAGGTTTGGAAACGGAGGCAGACAGAACTTTTAAATTTTTCGTTTTTTACATTATTTTTTAATTTTGTTGACACAAAATAATATTTTATTCATTGTTAACGGCAGATGGACGGAATTTTAGACGGATGCACAATTCAAGAATATTAGTGGTACCCGACGCCCTATTCTTATTTAAGTGGTACATCTTCCCCAATTCTCATAATTAAGTGGTATCCGAGGTATTTTACCCATCATGTTGCAACCTAACTTTATACCTCCAACTGTTATTGTTACTATAATTGATTAAATGATAGACATTACCCTTTTTTTAATGAATGATGAAACTGCCTTACACTAACACTACACATAAGACACCCAAAAGCGATAATGAAACCACAAAAAAAGAACAGTGAACAAGCAAGCAAGCAACACAACATACCATATGTGATTTGCTATTGATGAGAATCGATAAGATTTCAAGTTCAGTGGAATCGAGCCTTAAATCGATTACACCTAATTTGAGGGAAAGATGTATGTAGTTTCCAGATTAGGTTTTTGGTTTCATTCTCTTCCATGAACATACAAAAATTGAGAGAAAGAAGAGAAGCGGTATAAATGGAAAGGGAAAGTTGAATGATAAAGTCATAATCATAAAGGTCGCATCGTACACAATAAGAGAAAATGTAAAGTGATAAATTTTTAGTGTATTTTAGTTTTTCTGTCTAAAACAAATTGTGAAAGAGGGAGCCAAAATTTCAGAGAAACAAAATTCTGACGCCGACATTTTCGGCAATAAAATGGAGGCGGGAAAAAATGTGGTAGGGAGCCCAAATTGGATTTGCAATATACGGGAATTTTTTTGGTTTTCAGAATTAATTAAGTCCCAACCATATATAACTAACCACATAAAATTTCAAAAAATAAAAATTTCAAGCCGTGTGATTCATAAAATGAGGGAACCAATTTTGAATACTTTTTTATATAAAATTACTTTTATAAAAATAAATTTTAGTTACATATCTACACTAAATCGTGTGCAATTTTAAAAAATATTATCATAATCAATTATTTTTCATTAGGAATAGCAATCAATCTCATGGCAGGGGGTATCTGACCGCTCCCGACCCAATCAACGCGTGGAATTTCCGCTTTGGCTAGGTATGGGGCGACTATGAACCCACAAAAAATTTGATGTGTATAGGGTAATAGGGCGGGTATGATTTTAGCCTCCCCAGCCCCATACCCATACTCATACCCCACACCAATAAAAAAAATTCAAATATAAAAATATATGTGGATCAAATTGTAACCTATCATGATAATGAAGATAACTCGAGAAAATAAATAGTAGAAATGCAATTGAGTGACAACCCTAATCAAAACCTAATTCATTTTCCTCAATGCTCACTTCACTTTTCGCCTTGTCAACAAGATTATGTTAGGAAATTATTACTTAGTAGATGTATCATACTTAAAGCATAATAATTTTGAATCTATTATACTCTATATTATGTATTAGTGGATGTTTTGGATCATATTCTTTGAACCGTATTAAGAAAATGATCATGTTCTATTGACTTCATGATATAATAGTTTCGTTTAGAGTTATAATTAAAAAATTATTGTAAATTGTTATGTATAATAACGTTGGATGTACGGGCCGGATATTACCCATGGGCACCCCGAAACTCATGGGTATGGGTTTGGATATTTGAAAACAGGGATGTAGATGGTTTAGGCAAACCCGTTACATTGTCATCCCTATTTGTCATGATGAACTGAACTTTGAAATAATAAGTTATCATATTGTTCACGGTAATTAACTGTGACTAACAATTAATCATGGTATATGAAGACTAATAAACAGGGAAATTAAGTCCCGTGATTAAAACTGTACAATTAATCACCGGAAAATTTTCTGTGACTATAAGTATGCTTCTTGGTATGGGAAAATATTCCGTGAATAAGATCCCGTGACTAGAAACCAGTTTTTATGTAGTGCATATACTTGTCCAATTAAAATTGACTAATGTATGAATATCAGGCCCGGCCATGGGCCTGTGCTGGTAGGCCCGCCAGCACAGGGCATCGGTGGAAGTATTTTCTAGGCTGTTAATAGGCCCACAAATTAGGGGTGTTCAAATGGTTACCATGGTTATTACCAAACCAAATCAGCCTAAATTTCATTAACCATGAAATGCAATATCATAACCAAACCGTCCAAACTAATACAACAACCAAATTAACCGAACTAAAGTTTAATCGGTTTGGTTAATTGGTTAACCAGATTAACCAATATAAAATCATATTATCATCAAGTGAGAAAAATTTCGGTTAATTTATCAATTCACAATTTATATAATGAATAAAACATAACAATCAACACATAGTTATAGTTGACCCTTAACATAAATACATGCAACTAAGACAATTATCTTACGGTTAGTATAGAAGTATTCACCTAACAAAAATTTATCACAATGGTATGAATTAATGAATTGTTGTGTTTGTTTGAATTGACTTAGTCTTTTAGCAATTTTCATAGGCTGAAAAGGACCTTGCTTTTAAATTTTCATCCAACATATGTTGTGGTCATACGTTGTGGTCTATACTCTACATATACAAATATACATTATAGGAACAATATCAAGCTTTATATTTTATGAGTCTAAAAGGATGAACGTTTAACTCTTGATTGGTTATTCAAAGTATTAAGTATGTGTATATATTAGATATATAACTAATTATTTATCTGGTTAATTTGGTTTGGCTGGTTAGGAGTGTCTGAAACCAAACCAAACCACCTAAACCAAACAAGCTAATAACTTTAACCAAACCAAACCAATTATCCAAATTAATCAAATCAAATTATCCAAATAGTACTGGTTAAAACGGTTACCATGGTAACCACACCGTTTGAACACCCCTACCACAAATAAGTAATGTGTCTTGACTCTTGAGTCTTGACGTTAGAAAACAAAGTGAGTTGTTTGAACTAAATGATGAGCCTCTAATTAATTCATATTTTAAACGGAATTCAAGATAAATAATCTGTTTTCGCCCAAATTGCTTTGAAAACAAAATGACTCCCTTTAAATTAATTATGGGCCTCTAATTAATCTATAGCTTAAACGGGCCTTTAGGTAAGATCATTCTTTGCTAAAATTGCTTGGCAAACAAAGTTACTAGCACCAACTAAATGATGGGCCTACACTTAATCACTGAGAAAAGCTTTTCATGGGACATCAATGGTAAAAACGAATCTTTTTTAGATCTTATGTAAACGGTAAGAAGGAATTATCATCTGACAGGCAATTAGTATTCTTCTTTGTTTTGTTGATTGTTTTAAAACTTCAAATTTTGATATGGTGGATCAAATTAATTTTGATATCATTTTGAAAGAAGCTTTTCAAAGTTGAAGTTGTTGAAGTCTTATTTGCGCTTTACAATGACAGAAGATAGACTTAACGGGTTAGCGATGTTCGCAATTGAGAATAACTTATTGGATGATGCAAAGATGGAAGAGTTAATAGAGTATTTTATTTCAAATAATACTAGACGATTGTTACTTTTTTTATAATGATAGATAATATTACTTATTTTTTAATCATTTTTTAAACTTATGTATTTTATTATTTATTTAATAATTTTTATTTTTTTATAAACTTATAAGAGAAAAAGATGACACATTTTAATTTTCGAACAGGGCCTCCGAATATCATGGGCCGGCCCTGATGAATATATAGTTACGCAGGTTAATAATTAGATATTTCAGCTCATGAATGAAATATTATGGTTCACTATTAACCAAAATACCATGTAAAACCTTTTGTCTAGTGTTCTTCGACCGCATTGTGAGACTATCTTAATACCAAGACATATTTTCATCATTTGGGTCATTATTAGTTAGCACATAATCACCTTGATTTTGGTTCGAGCTATCCTTAACACAAAACAACGCATAGATAATACAGTGATGTAGAACTACACAGCACGTAGTACTACTACACCAACAACATTCCCTTTTATTCTTCTTTCTCGCGAAACAAACTTTTTAAGTAATCAAACCACTCGGACCACGCACGCATCAATCGGCTTCCTCGATCAGCATCACCTGACCCTGCAACCCAAATTAAGCACGTAATTAGTAAAAAAAACAGAAGAATATTAGGGTCGTCACAACATTATTACATTACACTGATCAATAAACTTCAATGCACATTAGAGTATTAAGTAGCACGAGCAGCATTGTGTAGTAGTACAACTAGCAGTATATTATACTATCAGTATTGTAATTGGATAAAGTTATATTAGTCGTAGTATAACATAATATTGAAGTACTAGTCACCCGTACAAACAAACAAAAAAAAGTAAAATGGACTCCTTACTTGCTGCAGTCGGTTGATGTGCTGATCGGAAAGCCGACGTCAACCCTGCACTTCCCGGGAAGTCCGGCGGCGAGACCCTGGTTGAGACCTGAGATACGACCGGCCAGGTCCTTCAAGCAGTTGCAAGCCTGCTGCCGATCCGGCGTTGACTCACTCCTACTGTCACTCTAGAAAATGGCCAAGTGTAACCACTTCCTAAAGCGTAGTATAGCGAGTTTGGGTTTTAATGTCAACCCGGATCCTAGATGTGATGACTACTCAGTGAATTCTTATTATCTAGCGGTGAAACTTTAGTGCAAGTCCAAATTAACAAACAAACAAAGCAAGTTAAACGGTTGTTTTCAAGTCGAGAGAGGTCACCCGGATATGGTTCCCTCTAGACTGCAGTTAAGCCGGATTGCAATTTACCAAGTTCAGTTTCAATGATAGTTATACTGCGGGAGGTTCTTAAACAGCCTGAAGTCTCGACTAAAGGTCTTCAGACCCTCTCAATCTGAGTCTCCAGCGGGCGACTAACTTCCATCGGAGTAAATAGATTGAGGCCCTAATGAACAAAACCTCCACTACCGAAGTGAATTCGTTACAGAATAGTGAGTTGGCTCCTCGACTAAAGTCACCAACTCCCTACCTTCAATCAAGGGTTCTCTATCAACCTAGGCAGATATTCTCTTTCTAGGTTAAAGCAGAAACAACAGGAATTTGATCATGATTCATGTCATTCAACAATTCAAACCTCAATTGAACATAATCATATCAAAGAATCTGTACTTGGGTTCATACAATCAGACCTAACACACAAATCTAGGGTTCTCCATACCCAGATGAATGAGGAAGTTACTCCATGGAGAGAGAAGCAAAGCAAGCTCAGATGTAGAAATCATGCTGTGAAGGATGAGAATCTGCTCCTGGTCGTCAATCGGCACTTCTCCAAGTGTGAGTTGAGCTCCAATGGTGATGAAGATCAAGCTAGGGCACTTGGGAACTCTGGTTCGTCGCTCTCTCTCTCTCTAGGAATCGCTTTCTTTCTCTAAAACTCGGAACCCCTCACTTGTGGCTGGAAATTGGCTTAAAAACCAGAAAATCCCGACTCACACGGCCAGGCCACACGGTCGTGTGACATCCCCAACTGCCCGTGTGAGTTGTGCAAACCGCAGCGTTTTGATAAGTGACTCGGGCTTCCTACACGGCCACGACCCACACGGCCGTGTGAGTGACCAGGCTGCCCGTGTGGGATATGCCGAGCCTTCACACGGCCACAATGGGTCTCCTACACGGCTGTGTGGCCTTTAGGCATGCCCGTGTGGCTTCTCAGCTTCTCGCCAAACGTCCAAACTTCGTCCAATCGACCCCGAACTCGTTCCCAAACCTCCATGCACGTACTAGGACCTGAAATATCACAAACAAGAACAACCTAGCGTGAAATCGGCCTAAAACGCGAGAGTCGACATCTCAAACGGCTCAAGAATAGAGGTAAAAACATGTGCAATCAATGATCTATCAAGCGTCGAGCTGGCGGAGGAGTTGAGGCGCGTGACCCCGTTGCAGCAAACGGGCGTCAGCGGGCCCTGGCCCCTGACGTAATTAATGCACGGGCTGATGTTGGATGCGACCTGGCCGCAGGTCACGGCCCCTTGGGCCAGCTGCGCGCTCGCCACCACCATCACCGCCACGAGAACTTGCACCTTAGTAGAAGCCATGATAGGGAAGAGAGATTCTAAGCTTTTTTTTTTTTTTTAACTCTCCTTTGAGTGGTAAGTTGATAATGTTGTGAGTGTTAAAAGCTGTGACGAGGTGGGGTTTTTATGTAGGGGGGAATTCCATGCATGTAAATGAGACCGGTGGGGTTTTAACTCTCCTTTGAGTGGTAAGTTGATAATGTTGGGCCGTAAATATTGAATGAATTCTGTCGGCAATGAGTCCGGCTTGGTGGAAGCTGCCTTAACCTCTAAATTTAGGGCGTACTACTATTCCAGTATCGAATTTTATAATACTCAAGCCGGTGTCAAGAATCGGTTGATTCGAATAATTCGAGTTGTTGAAAGAGCTGGTTTCGGTTATGCATCATAAGTAATGGGGTTATTTATTGGCATTCGAAGAGAAGACTTCTCGGTTGCACAAGGCTCTGGTACCATATCAAGAACCAGCTCGTCTCAAAGTAACTCGAGTTTTCGTGAGATGTTCAATTACGGATCATATATATACCATCAGCGGCGGATCCAGAACATATAAGAGCACTGAGCCGGATTTCATTAGAAAATTAGAACCGTAAAAAAAACATTATAGTTTTTTTTTACAATATAAATTGTACACGACGGTATTTTAATTTAGCGAATGCATTGATAATGGAGTTCGCATCCATACCAATAGTATACAATGTTTTAAATAAAAATACTTGAGCAATCAGTGAGAAATTCATCGCTCATTTTGTTGCGCAAATCAGTTTTCATATGTTTCTTTGTTGAAAAAGTTCTCCCCATAGTAGTTGTTGATACGAGCAGCGTCAACACTGGACAAATCAATCGTGCATTGTGTGTCCATATCTATGTCCACTAGCCGGTTTAGTAAATTTTCAAGGGAACATATCTCATATTTCTTATAGTCTTTTATGTTTTAGACTTTTAGACTTTTAGATTTCATTAATTTTCTAGAAGAATAATCGGAGCTAGAATTTCCAGGCTAAATTTATAGTAGCGCTTTGAATATGTTAATCTGAATCATTTTTCTAGTTACAGCCAATCTTATTGTAAAATAACACTGGGCCGAATAACTAAAATCGAAAAATTCATAAAGACTATACTAACTGCAGATCCAGAGGAGGGCTGGGTCAGGGCCAGGGGTGGCCACCCCCTGGATCCGCCACTGTATACCATTTACTAACACACCCCTATCAAATGAAAGCCAACTCGTACGGGCATGAAATTTGCACAAGTCCCCATACTTAACAAAACATATGGAGGTTATCGCGGGGATTACTAGAACTAAAGACATTTCGGTCACAGAAGATTCCGATACCATGTCAAGAACCTAGCTAATCTCAATAACTCTTAATTTTTTTATAGAAAAAGTCAGTTATAAATCATATACCATTTATTATCCCTGATACCTCATGTTCACTGGTATTCCTGACCGGTCAACAAAATGTAGAAAAATTTCTGATACACATTAACCTTTGTATAATACAAAAATATTTAATGTTTATATTTTTGTATATTTTTACGTCAGATTCGCTTTGAATGAAAGAATGGCTATATGCCACCGTCCACAATACACAATGGAGTTGTAGAGTATGCTACTAAGACACGTAATATTGACGCGTAAGTTCTGCTGCGAGCTTGTTGTGATAAATAATGGAGGGATGGGCATTTGATTGGAGGAGGAGGAGCAAGTATGGCGATTTTGAAGCTTATCTGCAGTGAAGGAGACATCTCCACGTTGGACCACTGAGCTTGCAACAATTATCAGATTTGACTGCGCGGTTTGTTTGTTTATGGTGTCACGGACTCACGGTGTGGTTGACGTTACAGGGGTTGGAAAACGGCATGGCAAAAAATTACTCTTTTTTTGTGTTGGTAATGAATCCAACTCAAAAATTGCTATTATTGGAAAAGTAGTGGGTAAAATACCACTTAATTTTAGTAGCGGATAGGTTTGAGAATTGTAGTAGACATACCACTTAATTTTGAATAGGGCGTTCAGTACTATTAAATTTGTCAAAATGTGCATCCGTTTATTTTTCTATTCACTTTTTGTTAACTAAATTTTTTTAAAACATTCAAAACTATATTTCAACAAGTTTTATCTAATATAATAATTAAAAAACCTTCTAAATATATTATTACTAGAATGACTAATCAAAATCTTTCAATAAAATAGATAGATTAGTAAAAATAGTAAATGAACAAGAAGAATAATAAATATGCTAGAATATAATAAATATTTAAAATAAATATCAGAATATCGATTTAAACCTCCTAATTCAATTAGAAGCACCATTAGAAATAATTAAAATAGTTTCACCAAAATAAAATAGTTAAAATAGAACCTAATCGATCATCAATACATCAAAATAGAAAAGGATAAATGAAACACAATCAGAAAGAATTAAACATACTTCACTAATTGAAAAAATTTAGAACAAAAAGAGATGAAAAGTAACCAGGTAATAAACAAAATATAAAAGCTATAATATTCGGTAAAAAAGCTACAACATTGATTAGTTACAACATTCATGTAATAATTCAATTATGAGAACACATAATGATAATAAAAAATAATTATAATGATAATTGATTCTAAAATTTCTATCCAAAAGAGGATTCGAACTAAACAATAAAAATGATATTTTTCATAAGTCCAAATTATTTTTTTACAATAAGAAAAGTAGAAGGACCAATTATGAACTTTAGAAAACGGAATATTCCAAGAATACTTTGTCAACTTTAACGGAATGCACTTAACAGTAAACTTAAGTGGTACATGTATGGTGCACATGTGGTACATGTATGGTGCACATATAATAGAGTTCAGTGATACCCGACGCCCTATTCAAATTTAAGTGGTATGTCTACCCCAATTCTCAAATTTAAGTTAATCCAAGGTATTTTACCCGAAAAGTAGTGAATCCAAGTATAAAAGTAGTGTCTGGCCAGTCACACTTTCTTCATGCTTTTGGTATGCAAAAATTGCCTAGTATAGAGTGAAATTCGTTGATCCTTCACACAACATAATTTGAAGGTCATGAACGTGAACCCACCGTTTCGAGAAACTAATTTAGTAGATTAGCTTGATTTTATAGTATAACTAGATTAATTAGTGCCCGACGCTCGAGAGAATTTGATGCTCGTGTATAAGTTAGAGTTCTAAAAAAATATTTTAGTTCTCGATTAATCGTATCTATATGCTTACCAATTATCAAACGTTGCGCCCGGGAATGGATCAGGTCAGTAACCTTATGGTGAGTAACTATGAGTAACCCGCCCACATCAGCATGACATCAGCATCCTCTCTCTCCTGGAAAGCCTTTAATTTTCTCCTCTTTAATCTTTGACGGACGATTTCTCACTCGTTTTAAGTCGAAATTTAATTTTGTTTACACAGTTAGATCAGATTAATTGTGCTCTTCAAAATGATATCCACTTTGATATATTTTTCGAGCAAAAAAAATTGAGCCATTTTTTACCAATCTATACCATATGGTATTGATGGTATTGAAATAAGAGCATACATATGGTTTGAAAAGCGTATCATGGTGGTATGAACAAACAAAGACTGTAGGATGATTGAATACATGATAGTAGAAGTATATTAATTGTCATTTAAGACTTTTAACATTGTATACCATAAAATACCACCCCGTACCAGGGTGGTATTGTATGATTTGAAAAGCGTACCATGGTGGTATGAACAAACCAAGACTGTAAGATGATTGAATACATGATAGTAGAAGTATATTAATTGTCATTTACGACTTTTAACATTGTATACCATAATATACCATAAAATACCACCCCGTACCAGGGTGGTATTGTATGGTATTGTGTGGTATTTTTTGGTCTTGTAATTTGTTCACCCAGAAATTTGTAGATCCAATAGATCATGATGAACTCGTCCCTGCTGTGCAAACGTTTTCAAAAACGAATGAAAAATGAAGAAGATACCATATGGTATGCAGTTGGTACCGAGAGGCCAGAATTTTTTTTCCTCAAAAAATATTGAAAATTGATCTCATTTTGTAGAGCACGATAAACTCGTTCCATCTGTGCAAAAAAAAATTAAAATCAGAGTTAAAACGAAAAAGATATGAGTCAATTAAGAAAGCTAGTGAAAATAAAAATGACCTTTAATTCTCCATCCTTAGATCTGGATTTTCTAAATGGAGGGTCCAGATTTGGTTATTGATGGGTGCATATCTTGAGCCGTTGCGCCCAGCTCCTATATATATGTGCAACAATTTAGGCAGTGAGATAATCGAATGGAAGACAGAGAGCTATTGGTTTAGTTTCTTTCTATGTATAGTTTTTGCCCTCTGTTTTTTTATGAATCTATTTATGTTATATCATAAAAAAAGATTGTTGACAACAACCCTCGCCAACCAGGATCTATACAATATGATCATAAGAAAAAACCTATAAGCAACCCCGAAACAAAGCAAGAAAAACCCTACCAATATCGCTCTAGCTATCTAGTTAAATTGAACCAAATTGATCCGGTCCCAGTCCGGTCTTTTCGGAAATATAAGGACCAAAAATTGGATTGGATATAGTCCGTCTTGATTCGGTCTGGTCTTGACCCGGTCCGGTCCCAATTTGATCTTGATTTTAGATGTTGGGGGTCTCTTATCCGGGTTTTTTTTACCTCAAATCTAAGCCCGAATATGAGATTGAATTGTTTGCTATCCGGTCTCAGTCCGATCCCGGTCCGGATTGTACGGTCCGATTTCGAGTAAAACCAAACAGTCCGGGACCAAATAGTCAGCCCTACTATCAACTGGTCATCAATCATAACCCTGATCTCACTTATCTTTTGTTCTTTATTATATTCTTTTGCACTTTGCAGTACGGCTTGACTATTTATATAGACTCTCACTTATCTTTTGTTTCCATCGGACACTTTCTTCGTTGAAAAGTAAAGACAAATAAATGAATCTTGCTCCTATATACGTTGATACAAAGAATTGAACCGTGTACATTGACATTTTTTTAGAGTGCCATGAATGTTTTAATTATTGCTATAGGGACTAATGTATGCATGTCTGAATTATTATCTTGTTGTTATGTATATACTTGTCCAATTAAAAAATTGACTATATGTATAAACATATCGCATACTTATAAATTATAATTAGATATTTCAGCTCATAAATTGATTTCTCATTCAATCTGAACAAAAAATACCACGTAAAATTTTGTGTCTACTATTCTTCAACTACATTGTGGCTTTCTTAATACCAAGATATATTCATTTGAATCATGATTAATTAGCATAATCGTCTTTATTCTGTTCGAGCTCTCCTTAACACAACATAACGCATAGATAATACAATACACTCATGCTTTGTAGCACTACACGGACTGATGCTTTGTAGCACTACACAGTACGCAGTACTACACAAACAACAATATTCCCTTTTATTCTTCTCGCCGTACAACTGTAATTAATTAAGCAACTTGGATACACGTACGCATCAATCGGCTTCGTCAACTCAACCCGCATTACCTGACCCTGTAATACAATCAAGTGCGTAATTAGTCAACAAAAAAAAAGAGATTAATTAGCGTCGCCACAACGTAGACGGTAAGAAAGTCGTTAAGTGCCACACAACATCTTTTAACAATTCAAGTTATTGGGACTGGTATGTTTATGACGACATGGTATCAGATCTGGTTTGTCATCAGTGACGTCACGCGTGTTCAAGTCCTCACTACCCCAATATTAACGTTTGTCTTAAAACACATGGTATCCGGAGGTCTTTGCAAACTCCAAAGAATATGTAATCTCATAAATTGATCAAGTTATTGTAACCCGTTGGTTTATGAGATAAATACACTGAGACTAGTCAATAGAAAACTTTTGACACAAACCTGCTGCAGTCGACGGAGTTGCTGATGGGGAAACCAACGTTGACGCCGCACTTCCCCGGAAGCCCGGCGGCGTTGCCCATGTTGACGCCCCTGACGCTGCCGGCGAGGTTCTTCAGGCAGCGGCAGGCCTGCTGCCTGTCCGGCGTGGATCTGGCGGCGCCGTTGAGGGACCTGATCCCGTTGCAGCAGCCGGGCGTCACGCCGCCTCGGCCCGTGAGGTAACCGAGGCACGGCGCCAGGCTGGACGTGACCTGGCCGCAGGTCACGGTTCCTTCGGCCAGCTGCGCGCTCGCCACCATCGCCACCGCCATTAGGGCGACGAGAAACTGAATCTTGGTAGCGGCCATGATAGGGAAGAGAGATTCTAGGGGTCTTTTTTCTTCTTCTTCTTTGCTTTGAGTGGTGAGTTAGATAATGGAGTGTGTGGAGTGAAAGTGTAAACGGGGTGGGGATTATTTTATAGAGGGCGGGGGGAAATTAAATTTCCATGCATGTAAACGAGACTGGTGGTGGGTAGTAAACGGTTGATGGTTGTGGAGTGGGGTGGGGTGATATTGAATGAATTTGTGTCGGCAATACACTGTACACCGTGGCAAAAAGAGGATTTAAAATTACATGCGTACTCTTTTTGGGATTATAAATAAACTAAAATTATTTATTAAATACGTAATTAACGAATAATGGTATCCAAATAATTTATATGTAGATTAAAAAAAAAACCGAATAGTACAATCGAAACTGCAAAATACATTCGGTTTCTGCACGACTGCTAGAATCAAAACTGCGTTCGGAAGCAAATAATAAACTGACGAATATGACTGGTATATGCATTTTTGTCTCCACCACCGTTACTGAGGACGATTCATCAATGCATTTTCAGTAAAGAATATCTCTCATCGGCAATAACATCTCTTGAGGTGAAAATAGATCCAATCAACGATTTATTCCAATTGTGAATTTCGTTTGCAGTGTAATAAACTAATTTTTTGTGGTCAATATGATGACAAAAAAAAAATTCACGGTCTTTCAAAAATTTCCAACATAGATGGTTCAATTCTTTGTATAAGCATATATGGGAATGGGAGTATGTAATTTTTTTCCCCCAAAACAATACTGTTGTCTTGTGAGACTGTGACAGTGCCAAAACAGTCTCCCTCCACCTACGACTATATACAGTATGGTTGCTAGGACACGTAATTTAGGTATGCGGACTGGTTGTGATAATTAATGGAGGGGACGACCCCAAGGCATTTGATTGGAGGAGGAGTAAGTATGGCGATTTCAAGTTTATCTGCACTGAAAAGGAAACATCTCCACGTTCGCCCACTTGCACCAATTATAAGATTTGACGGTGTCGGTTCTTCATTTAGTGGCGAAGCAACCCCTCTCATTTCGATTATTTGTCGATTGTGGCGTTTCGTTACGTACACAGTGTGCTTTAACCTATCTTATGTTATTATTACGCTATTTATGTAAGAATAAAAAAAAAATAGAGGTGACATTAGATTGGATTCATGGATTGCTGGATTAATGAACTACTGATGAAACTATGGATCAAACAGATTCATGAATTCATGGATTTGATCAAATGTATTGGTGGATTGGATCATATATATATCCAGATGGCATCTAAACATTAGACCAATAAGAAAAATCTGAAAGTTTATGTGCTAAAGTGTCATAATACAAAAACGACAAGATCCATATCCATATAAGACCAAAAATGGCAGCCAATTTAGTCGATCGATTCACCAGTTTCGCTTCGACTCGACTAAATTCTAAAAACGTAGATAAGAAGAGTTCTTATCAAGATCACTCCTACAGAGAGCATCCAACACCTCCTTACCACGAAAAAGGGTATCATCTCTCCATACACACACAAAATGAAAGGACCCTTTTTCTATTGGAAAGGAAGATAGAGAAGAACTCCTTACCTTGTAAGGAAAGGGAATCCTCTCCATGACTCCTCCAAATCCTCAAGGTAAAAAAAAAATTTACCACAAAGGGAGGAAAACCATTATGGAGCAGGACGAGAGCCACAACTCTCCCTCGGAAGGATCTTACGACCCTAACATAATTTTTCATAATTTGGCAGTAGGAGCACCATTTTTCTGCCTCCTTAAGAACACTTTAGTTTCACATTCCAAATTGTCATGAATGAGTTTATCGCGGTATTTGGAGGAAGAGGAGCTGTGATACTAGTTCTTAAGGCTATCGATCGTTAAGATGACTCTGATCCAACGAAAGGCACACGAAAGCTTCTCAAACAAGAGTATATATGAGCACTCTACAAAGCTACAATGGTGAACATACCTCCCCATATGCAACTTATAGTACTACAGAAGTCTCCTAAATGAACTTCATATAATGGATGCACTCATAGACATTGGGGCTAGCCTTAATGCGATGCCACATTACATTTGTGAAGCACTAGGTATCAATAGTCTAAATAAGGAGATCACTGAAATAAAGATGCCAGACAACATAGTTTTTCGTTCTTAAATGGGGATGGTGTTAGAGTGTGCTATAAGAACCAACATAACCTTTTCTCTAACAACTCGAGTTATTGGGACTTACTGGTTTATGACATGGTATTAGAGTTGGTTTGACCAAGTGGCTGTGTGTTCGAATCTACATGATCCCCAATATTAACAATTTATTAAAAGCACAAGGTATGGAGGGCTTGTGCAAACTTCAAGCTCATGAGTTGGCTTTCGTTTGAAGGGGCGTGTTAGAGTGTGTTATAAGATCCAACATAACCTTCTTCTAACAACTCGAGTTATTGGGACTAACTGGTTAATGACATATGGCAATGGGTCAACATGGGTCGAGTTTCACTAAACCAAAACCCAACCAAGTGGGTTTACCCTTCGTGTTCCCTCTCGACATGGATAGAGACAAAAAAAAACTACTATATCCTATTCGGAAATTTGCAAACAAAAAATTATTTATCAACCAACATACTCTAAATTTAATTGAAGAACAATCTTATTCACTCAACAAAAAAAAACTATCTTGGGGTACCTACCTTGCTAATGCACATAACCATATCAATGCGTCCATGAAAACTCCAGCTCGACTTTCATGATTTGTCTTGTACTGCGGTTATTTCATATTAAACTAAGTAACTATGAATGATGCATATGGTCAATTACCCTATAAAATAAAAAAATAATTGAAATCATCTAGAAATATTGGTATTGAGAAATTGTGTTCTTTTAAACTCACTTATTTGTCCAATCATGACATATTATCAAGATATTTAGGATTTAACGGTTAATCAAACTAAAATTTTCAAAAAACTGGTCACTTACAGATTGCATAACAATATCTTTAATTTAAGAGTTCAACAAATCAATACCAAGTTACAAATTCTACATCACATTTGCACATTCAATATGCAATATTCGAATCAATGATATTTGGGTTGCAATTTTAAAATTATCCTCTTATAGATATAAATTAAATTTATTATTCAACTCAAATTCAAATAAATATGAAAATTCAAATATAAAATAACAAAAACAATACTTACGGGAGAGTTAGTGGGCTAGCTAATAGTAGTGAAAAAAGTCATAAGATTTTTAGAGTTTAGGTTTTCATATTTTGCATTTGAAAAGATTTAAAATATTTCTTAAGTGTAATTGGTGACGGTTGTTGTCTTTGTTTGAAAAGATCATGGTTCAAATCCCGGTATTGATGTATTTTTATTCTTATGAATAAAAAATAATTAATGATTGTATAGACACAATTATCCTTCTTACTTTTACTCTTATTGCAGAAAATTTGAAATACCGAAAAACTACCTCCAACTCTACTATAATATATATGTAGATGAATTATTATCCCGGCTAGTTACACATTCTATTCATAGGCACGACACAGGAAGTAACCGGTACAAGATCAATTTTGAATATACTTGCCGCTGGCTCAAGATATGGTGCATAACCATGGGTTATGCACCCATCAATAACCAAATCTGGACCCTTCATTTAGAAAATCCAGATCTAAGGATGGAGAATTAAAGACCATTTTTATTTTCACTAGTTTTCTTAATTGACTCATATCTTTTTCGTTTTAACTCGGATTTTAATTTTTTTGCACAGATGGAACGAGTTCATCGTGCTCTACAAAATGAGATCAATTTTCAATATTTTTTGAGGAAAAAAAAATTCTGGCCTCTCGGTACCAACTGCATACCATATGGTATTTTCTTCATTTTTCATTCGTTTTTGAAAACGTTTGCACAGCAGGGATGAGTTCATCATGATCTATTGGATCTACAAATTTCTGGGTGAACAAATTACAAGACCAAAAAATACCACACAGTACCATACAATACCACTCTGGTACGGGTGGTATTTTATGGTATACAATGTTAAAAGTCGTAAATGACAATTAATATACTTCTACTATCATATATTCAATCATCCTACAGTCTTGGTTTGTTCATACCACCATGGTACGCTTTTCAAACCATAGGTATGCTCTTATTTCAATACCAGTCAATACCATATGGTATAGACTGGTATAAAATGACTCAATTTTTTTTGTTCGAAAAATATATCAAAGTGGATATCATTTTGAAGAGCACAATTAATATGATCTAACTGTGCAAAAAAAAATTAAATTTCGACTTAAAAGGAGTGAGAAATCGTCCGTCAAAGATTAAGGAGGAGAAAATTAAAGGCTTTCCAGGAGAGAGAGGATGCTGATGTCATGCTGATGTTGGCGGGTTACTCATAGTTACTCACCATAAGGTTACTGACCTGATCCATTCCCCTTGCCGCTTATATATTGAGTTATCAACATGGATTCAATTTTGGCATGTTGTTTAAAATAATGACTGAAAAATGTCACGTTTTCAGGTCCTTCTAATATCTCTATGAAGTTGTAATTGAATCACGTGATATAATCAGTTTATTTCAGACAATCACATTCACATAAACTATTTATGCATATTCACCTTCATTCATTATCCACACATTGAAAGAAATAAATCCCACCGCAGGACCTGGTACTGGACACGCAGACTGCTTTTACTGCTCATGCTGACCGGGATGTACTGTTATAACCCGGAAGCTGGCGCTGTGTGGGCTGGCGTTGGGTGGGGGCTCTTTGGGATCGGACGGGTGTTTGGCGGGTCGGTTGGGATGGAACTTGGTCGTTGGCCTGTTTTGGTCTGCTGGATCGGTTGTGGTCCACGAACGAGTTGGTCACCAGGGCCCTCTCGGTGGCTGGAGCCTGCCCAGTTGCTTGATTGGATTGATTTAAGGCGACCGGTCTATTTTCCTTGGCAGCTGTGTCAGGGCCTTTGCAGGCAATCGACGTATCCGTGGGTGGGAGACTCAGAGATGGTGGGCCATAGGGGGTCTGGAAGGGTTTATTGCAGTGGCTCTGCAAGTGGCTTAGGGCAAGGTCAGAGTATTTGAGGTGTGGCCCGTTTAAGAGGTGGGAGTCGTGCCGGTTTCGGAGGCTGAGAGAGGAGGGAGGTATGGGAGAAGAGA